AGTGTGTTTACCTGTGGCTGAGGCAGGCCAGGGCACCATCCATAGTGTGTTTACCTGTGGCTGAGGCAGGCCAGGGCACCATCCATAGTGTGTTTACCTGTGGCTGAGGCAGGCCAGGGCACCATCCATAGTGTGTTTACCTGTGGCTGAGGCAGGCCAGGGCACCATCCATAGTGTGTTTACCTGTGGCTGAGGCAGGCCAGGGCACCATCCATAGTGTGTTTACCTGTGGCTGAGGCAGGCCAGGGCACCATCCATAGTGTGTTTACCTGTGGCTGAGGCAGGCCGGGGCACCATCCATAGTGTGTTTACCTGTGGCTGAGGCAGGCCAGGGCACCATCCATAGTGTGTTTACCTGTGGCTGAGGCAGGCCGGGGCACCATCCATAGTGTGTTTACCTGTGGCTGAGGCAGGCCAGGGCACCATCCATAGTGTGTTTACCTGTGGCTCATGATATACCACTTTCTTTAAAAAATTACAAAAAAAGGTATATAAGACCATACCATTCAACATCATCCAGTATTAATTCCTCAGTAAACCCGTAACTCCTTTATATCAGACATAGACTTACTGCTATTGCACGTCTTGGTAACTTACCTTAATGCACGAAGAATGTTTTTATCATGCTGGAAATATATTTAGCATAGTATTTAACAGCAGAACTAACCATCTGTACATTAGTATAGAATTCAATTAAACATCAAGTGACATTTTATGTAAAATTTACATCTGGTATATTTTGATGTACAAAGATTGTTTATTGTAAATAGTTCAGATTTGACACCAGCTGTATCAGTAGAAATTTTACTGGCTGGTTTTAATTTTAATCGTTTCATCTTCTCTGCTTTAGGTTTTGTAAAAAATGATAAGGAAGCTGAATCTATAGTGACCACAGATCAGGAGGAAACATCTGATGACTCTGAAGACATGGATGAGGATTTAGGATGCTCAATTTCAAGAAATGATTTTTCATCGAAAAAGAAAACCAGGAACAAAAAAAATAAAAAGTGCATTGTTCAGGACCAGAAGACAAAAATCAGTGCGAACCAAGCCATTGAGGAATTGGAGCTTGTTGATTCTCTTGAAGATTTGCTTCAACTTGTGATAAGAACTGAGTGTCCAAACGTAGGTGGTCTTTACAGAAAGAAGTGTGTGGAACGTTTACACAAGCTTATGGTAGTCTCTTCAACGAAGAAAAAACATCAAAACCAGGCCAAGTTTGTGAAAAAGGGAAAAATATCAGTCAGGAAGTTTCTTTTATTGAATGTAAGGACAGAATCAAGTGTAGTTCAGGAGGATAGTATGTCGCACAAACAGCTCAGAGTGGTGGAACTAGAAGAATTGCAGACACAGCAGCATGTTAAGAATCTGCTGGTGAATTTCAGACGAAATAATTCAATTTTTCTTCAAGGCAGATGTGTTAGAATTGATGACCAAAAATGTGCAAGAAGGATACGCATCACTTTGAAACAATGTTTGAGTAAGATAAAGAGGAATTCAGACGCTACCGAACAGTTGGTCAACAAAGCTGTTAAGGTAGTGACATCTGTTGTAGAACAGATTGAAGGAGATACTCCAGACATCTCCGAGGATCAGGCAAATGAGAGCATCTGGGAGTCGGAGCAAGCAGAAAACACTCCATGTAAAATTAACAGTGTGAAAAAAGGCAAAAAAGACAGGTTAGAGGACGCTTTGAAAATTACGGCAAAGGCAAGAAAAGAAAAGAAGAAAAAAATGGAAATGAGTGATGCAAAGACAGTGGATATAGAAACACCAAGAAGTATTACTCCCCTGAAGAGAAAGACATCTACAGAAGAAATTGGGGATATCATTCCAGAGAAAAAGAAAACAAAAACTTCAGGTACTAAAAAACAAAAACTGAAACTTTCCATTCCTGTAGAGAAAAGTCCAAGGAAGAACAAGAAAACAGGAAAGGGTAAAGCTAAAACGAAATAGAATGGAAGTATGAATACATATGTGCAGTATCATGGTGTTAACAAAAGGGTCTTATGCAAAATATACTGCAAACCATTTGTACTAAATTTGACAAATAGTGTATCAATTTTGATATATAATTTATAATAATAAATGACTGCAAAACACTATCATAAAAACCCATTGAGAGTAAAAATATTTGCATTTAAATACAAATATTATTTCAATTTGTTTGTTGTTTGTTTTTAATATAAAATACAAGATAATGTACCAAGGATTGTTTGAATGTGACTTTTCGACATCAAGATACAATTTTTGATATCACAGGACGTCCAGCTGTATGGTGTGGCTGCTCTAAAGTGGCCTTTAATTGTTCTGACTACTGTACCTTTCAATCACTCATTATGTTAGAGCTCTGTATGGTAATTATATAATAAGCCTAGACTGCAATCTGACAATTCGTATAGGCCAGAGAGACCTACTCATGGGATATGTATTAATGACAGCAGAGGCTCAATGCTAACTGTTAAGAGAAATAGCTTAAACACCATTAACTTATGAAAAGGTGACACTCAGAATTGTATTTGATCAACCTGTGAAATCCAAACAACACTTTCAGTTCCACGATATATATATACTACCAGTACCAGTGGTCACACTTCACACATTGGTGTCAGTGTATGAGCAGGAGCTTGTGATGCTTTTCTTTTGTACTTCTGTGAAGATTAGTTTAAGGTAGAGTGTGACAGCAATTTTCTACTATTTTAGGTCACATAAGTCATCATCCTGAGAAATTAATGTTGAAAGCATTTCAAGGAAGTTAGAACATCTAAAAGCTATTCGTAGTAACTTTGCACAAAAATATGACACAACGTATATCATCACCCACAGGGGTTCGTAATAAATGTCTAATACACATGCGCACGTGTGCCGTAACCGATATCAGTATAGCATATGTGTATTAGACACTTGTAACGAACCCCTGTTATCACCGGTGGCGGATTGGTTAAGCATCTCACAACGGAACCAAAATGATTTTGTGGAAAAATAGAAGCCGTTAGAGATACATTTTATTTGTATGTTACACTTTGCTGAAGGAAATGAGCAAGCAACTCCAAATGTCAAACACATTAGAACTCTTCGTTGTTGGACCCAGACCCTCTTTAATATTGCATATAATGCTAATAACGTAAACGCAGAGACATGGGTGTAGTATATACGTCTCTGGTAAACGGTAGCAATTTGAATGAACAATTATAATCGATATGGGTAGTCACAAGTAAAGTTGTTAATAGACTATACTCCATGATTCTGCATAGTTCAAGGGGTATAGACCTTTACATTGAATGGTTCAGGAACAATGTGGACGGCAACACGTTTTGAGGCGTTGGTTGAAGTTCTGTTTCCCAAAGTAAACGTGGGCCCATTATTGCATATCCAGGTCAATAAGGTATCCAGGTCAAACGTCATTAAATTCGTATTCAGTTATCTTTACGAACATGCACAGCTCAAACCTAAATTGATTCATGGGGGTCGAATAAGAAAATATCGATGTTTTGTTCAGTATATTATAATATTATAGAATGCACAAAATAATATACATTTTATCAAAGGTTTATGTTTCATACATAGGTTGAGCTTCGCATGACATTGCATGCACTATGTATAGCTATATGTGGTTTGGAGTTAATTAGGATAAACGCAAGACAAATCACGGTTAACGTAATAGTTTTCTTTCCCCACTCCATACGTTTCAATAGCCTGTAGTACCGGCACTATGGCTACTGTACATAGGATCTGCAACACATCTTCGAAACTTTGTAAAGGGATATTAATGCATACGTCTTCTTCTTTATATTTTCACCAGACCTTCTTGCCATAGAAGATTGCGTGGGGGATGCAAAATTAGTTAAAAGAATTTCATTTAAAAAAACACCAACATTAACATAAAACTATATATACAAAAGTAGTATTTAGTGTAGGAGAGGTGCGAGTAAGCTGGAGTCAGCTGATCTCTGAAGGTGTCTACAGTAGCACTGTCTACAATGGCTGTACGGAGGGCATTCCATTGGACTATGGTGCGCGGAAAGAAGGACCATTTAAGGGTGTCGTTTGTTGCGGATATATGTCTGAAGTCTTGATCATTTGATTTTCTGGTTCTACTGTCAATGGGAAAGAGGATACCAGTTGTAGGAACAGCAATGAGACAGTGGACACTACAAGTCGTGTTTTTAGACGACATTCAGCTAGGAGTGGCCAATGAAGAGTTTTCTTACATTCCTGACTCACTGCTTGTATTATGGAAGTTATTGCATACGTAGATCTAGATGCACGTCGTTGAACCATTTCAATTTTGTTTGTATTTCGTTGTGTATGGGGGTCCCATACGCAAGTACCATACTCAATTTTATATAAAAAACAATACTTATCACGTCCAATTATTATGCAAATGATCTCCAACTACCAGTTCTTTAACGCCCAAAGTAGAGTTTCAAAGGCCCCGCGCAAATAAGAAACTACTCCCTGTCCAAACCGGACATACGGGTGTAGGATGCGCGCGCACCTCCAACTTCCTATTTCGTCAACTCGAATGAAGCACATGGCTGTTATTTTTACCCTGGGCTTTGTTCAAGTTTTCCGAGGGCGGTAACCTGTGTCATTGTTTGTTTTCATTTCCATTCTTTGAATTACCTGGGCCCCACAGAGTGTAGCAGCACTGCCACCTCTCATGACGGTCCCTTCTCTTTCCTGGTCAAGTATCCGGTATCAACCCTGTCGGGGTCGATTCCGTGCCAGCTTGCACCATACGGAACCCGTGGGCCGCGCCCATGGGTAATGGAGAAGGTGACAAGTCTGGCAAGAGTCGGGCGACACCCCACGGTCTCGGGAATGAGTCCCTTGGGCCTCATGCTTCGGGTACTATGCATCATGGTTTTGGTGCTTTCCAGCAGCAAACTGGTCATATGTCTGGCCCTAGGCCTTTCATTTCTGGTTTCGCTCCGGGAGGGAGTGGTGGTTCACCTTTTCCTTTTGGTCAGGTTGTTCCTTTCCATGTCCCCACTGGTCATGAGTTTGGCCAGTACTGGGGTCACTCCTTTCCTTATGGTCCTAGGGCCCCATTTCCTCAGGGATTTGGGTACAACTCAGGTTATCCTCCGGGATTTAAACAGGGTTAGGGACAGGTCTCATCTCAGCAGATTGGGGGCTCGCTGAATGCTCAGCTCCTACCCACCTCTGGGGCTGGGGAGGAAGTTGTGTTTAAAAGACATATTAGGGCTTTTAGGACATCTCGCTCCAAGACCAATATCCCCGCCTCTCGTAGGTCTCGGAGTCTCATCTTGGCCCTTCGGAGCCTAAGAGAGCTCGTAAGAGGACTTTCTCAAAGAGTCTCAAGAACTCTACCTTGCCATTAACAGTAGATACTTCCAGGAGGGGTACTGAAATAGAGAAGGGGGACAGGGACGATGACGTCCTCAGCCTGTCACCTGGGAGTGTGATGACTGAGATTTAGTCAGAACCTCCTTCTCCTCGTCATGATTCAGATTCTTCGGAATCTGAAGATGATGAGATGTCGGCTGAGATTGAGGCTGAAGCCCACCGTGCTCTGGCTGGCATGCGGGCGCTTCGCGCCGACGTAGCCAGAATCATCGAGGAGGAGGTTTGTCCTCCTGTGGCGTCTGCCATTCAGGCGACAACGCTGCTGAGTCAGCTTGTTCTGCCCAAGGTTTCGGCTCGTTCCGACAAGTCTTTGCCTGAGGGTTCTGTTGTTTCCTCGGCTTTGGCTGTCGTCCATGCTAGGATGGCAGATAAGGCTCCTTCGTTCTCTCGTGCATCTGGTGCAGCTGGCCTGCAGTTGAGTGGCAGATTTGTCTGAGGTTAGGTCCTCAGACTACGACATTCACAACGCCAAATTTGATAGAGTCAACCCGTTAAGCTGGAAACTCACGAGCTTCGGCAATGACCAGGACCGGCGACTGACCAGGTGGTGTTCTTTGCCAAGGAACACCACAAACTGGAGAAAATCCTGCGGCTTTCTCTCCAGGTACTCTTACATTTTGATTTCCTGACTGTGACCCTTTTCCGTTTATCGGAAGTGCCCATCGGGGAGTCCGAGGTTGAGGAGAGTGACAGACAGGCTGTGCAGGATAGGGTGACCTCATCCTTGCACAACTGTCTGAAGGCCTCTGCAGCTTTGCAGTGTACACTGCTGGCCAATTTGGTTCTTCCCAGGCGAGCCTCTGTGTTTAAAGGTAAGCCTATTGAGGAGCCGTACCTTTCCAGGCTTTTGTCCTCTCCCTTCGAGGGTCCGTGGCTCTTCGGGGGTGCCCTTCCTTCTATTCAGAAGGAAGTTAAGGAGGACCCAGTAGCCTCGGTACTTTTGGTTTCAATAGTATCGGCTGGTGGTAAGGCTGGAACCCCTCGGGGTTAGGGCCAGGCCAAGAAGAAGGCTAAGTTGAGGCCTCGCCAGACTCAGTCTTCAGCTAAGGCTAAGTCTACATTTAAGGCCGAAGCCAAGGGTAAGGGCAAGCAGAGTGCCAAACCCTCTGGGGGTATTCCTGACTCTCCCCTCCTTCCACAACTCTTTCGTTTCAGTCCGGGCAAGTAGATCAGAGGTCTCCTTTAACCGGTCTCATAACGGTCGTTGACAGCCCCAGTAGGAGGTCGACTGTCCGCCTTCCTTCCTCAATGGAAAGAGATTACTCAGGACAGTTTGACATTGTCAATAGTTGCGGAAGGATTGAGCATCCCGTTGTTACGGGAACCGCCGCCCACAGCAGAGCCAATCTTTTCCCCATCCCCGGTGATTCTAGAGAAGGCTCTAGCTGTCGGACGGGAAATTGCTACCCTAGTCGAGAAGGGTGCAGTCGAGGAGCTCCCACGGTACTCTCCAGGCTTCTATTCCCGATTTTTTTCTGGCAAAGAAGAAGTCGGGAGTTTGGCGGCCGATTAAAGACCTAAGTGCCTTCAATCGGTTCGTGGGCTCTCCCCACTTTCAGATGGAGACCCCGAGAGGCATTATTACCTCAGTCAGGGAGGGAATGTGGGCTACTTCAATAGACTTGAAGGATTCCTACTTCCACATTCCCATCAGGAAGTCGGACAGGAAGTATCTTCGCTTCTCATGCGAGGGCAAGATATTCCAGTTCCGGGTCTTACCACAGCCCCAATGGTTTTTACCAAACTACTGCAGGTTGTGGTAGGTTTCCTGCACCAGCGGATTATCAACATCCATATTTACTTCGACGACTCCCTCATGCTTCATTCACTGAGGGAGTCCC